ANNCNNGNGGAAAATGGCGGTTGGATGAAAAAGTCAAATTCAAATTAAAAAAAATTGTTATTTTGAAAAAGATATTTTGTAAACCCTAATTCATAAAAATATGGTCAATGATAACTTTAAATACAACGGGTAAATATGGTCAATGATATCATAAATTATATTTTATATTCGATAAGTTCAACTTAGTTGATGATTTTGTTTGTTAATATTTGCTTAACTACAAAATATTTTAAAGTTTATAAAGAATCTCATTTTATGTAGGTTCTTGGTACTTTTTTATTTGTACATATTCATTTTTCATCCCATATCCAAATACAAATTTAAATGCGGATCTTACATGTTTATTAGAGATATATGTATATTTTTTCAAAAAGTATGACGATCATATAATTAATTTTATCATATATCATATGTTGGATGTTATTAGTTTGGTTGGGACACTCATTATATTCAAATAAATAATATATAATTTTTCATATTTAGTATTTCTTTTTTTATAATAATAAGATGTTAAACATAAATAACTATGTATAATATAAAGTCTTAGAAAAGGTTTTAAGTAAAAACCTCTCCGTGCAGCGCACGGGATACACACTAGTATGAATATATATAAAGAATGATTCAAATAAAAATTAATTCTCGTGTGAGAATCGTGAGAGTTGTATTTAATATTATTTTTAATTGTGTATGATCCTATTTTTAATATTACATGATGCTATCATTTTCACAAATCTAATATAAATTATGTTGTTATTTTAAATAAAATACATCCTGATTAAAAGTAACACTAAAATACAATCAATCATAGCACCATCTACAATTAAAACACCGGTTCTCACGTTAAGACTTGATTCTTATTTGAACCACATCCTATACATGTATTTATAAATGAAAAATTTATAAAGTTGATTTCACAATCACACCATTTTTCTTGTAATGAAAGAATCATGTTTCTGAAAAATAATATGTTGGTCTAATGGTTATGCAGACATAAATATAGAGCCATAGTTCAAAATGTGTGTGTGTGTGTGTGTGAGAAACCAATAAAAATAAATGAAAGAACGGTAGAGCTAATGTTAGACAACTACATATTTATATATTTTTAATAAATATGCATTCTTTTATTCATAATTAATAAATTTTAGAAACAACATAAATATAATTAGTATGGCACTTTTTAGTATAAGTATATGTTTTTGTTTGATAAGTATAAATGATCGACTCGCATAATACTGTCTTACGGAAGAATTAAGGAAAAAAAAATTCAATATGTTTTGAAGTTACGAATTATTCACATGTTTTGATCTCAAAGGCCATTTAAAAATATTCAATTTTAGTATAACAAATTATATGTACAGTATTATTAACCCACTGATTATATAATTATGGTGTACTAGCTAATTCAACTGAATTTGTGAAAAATATTTACTTAATGACCAAAATTATTACATCCAACTTAATGGACTAAAATTTCTAATCTTAAAAGGTTAGTGGACTGATTTTCCAATATGTACTTCTAGTTTTACAAATTGCTCAAAATATCTTAGAGGGAATCAGGGAAATTAATGTGCAAATAAAATAAGTTCTGCACAACTATTTTTCTTTTTTTTTTACTGTAGAATCCAAAACGAGTCACTAGATTGGTCATTGGTCCCAACTCTTTAATATCAAATTCATAAATTAACTAAGTTAGGCCATTTAATACAAGTTGTGGAAAATCACAGTGGCTGGAGCTACATTTATTTATCATTTTATTGTACAACTATTTCTTTTAGAAAATTCATTAAATTACGTACTTCTGCACTTGTTTCAACGATAAATTTAAATTTCTTACAATATAATTAAGGCTGGACAGCACCTTTTTCTCAAGTGCCCAAAGTCAACGAGTTGATTAAAGTAAATCAGACGAATCTGAATGTGCATTTTTGGACTTGATAGCATGGTCAACGATTGCCAAACCAATATATTATCTTCAGTATTTTGTGATGCAAGGAAGTGTTTTTATTTTGACTTTAGTGGCTATTTTATTTCTTCACGCGTACTTAAAGTTGATCCCGTCATTTTTACAATTTTCCGGCGAGCAAAGAACCAAACGGCAACATTTATAATGCATATGAGACTAAATTCAAATCGGTTCTGTAAAAAATAAATCATTTTAGCCATAAAATGTACCATTTAGTGTATATACTCGTCTCATACTTTACATTATCCCTCTACACAACGGCAAAATATGAAGAATGAGATTTTCCATTTCAAATTTTAAGAATGAGATTTTCCATTTCAAGTTTTTCCATCTCATGCTTCAGTTAATTGGATAAAGACCATGTGTACATAATAATGTTTATTTATACTTTGTCATCATACAAGTGAACAAATGGTCTCACTGGGCTTTAAGGAGTTTCTGTAACATAATCCATTTATGGGTCCATCTTATACATTTCGGTATTTTAATTCAAATTGGGTCAAAAGCCCTATCTTCATATGTTGTGGCCCAGAGTTGCCAATATTGGGCTGCTATGTTCTAGTCCGAATAGAATTTTGATCAGCCCACTGTATACTGTTTACTAAAGGGGTCAATTTGCCAATTAACCGATCTCCAAGGACCAATTGGCAAGTTTGCAGAGCTGGAGCGCAATCAATCCGGGACCCAGCAAAGAAAAGAAAGCTCCACCTGTCCACAGGGACTTTTTGGTCAATTTTTGACCACCGGAAAGTGGAAAACGCCAAATACATGAGCATTGTAGCCGTTGCGACTCCATAGACAAAAACCTCTGCGTATATTATTCATTTCTTTCACTAACAAGAAAACTAAGGAAAAAAGAAAATGGACGATTTTTTTTCCGACAGCGACGGCGAGAAAGCGGTGGAGGAGCTACTTTCGCAGGCCATGGACTCCACGGTGCTCGAGCAAGTGGCCGCAATCAACTGCGCTGGGTTCACCGGCGCTGGCCTCCCCTCCCACCTCGAGACCCGCTTCAACCGCCTCAAGTCCCTCCCGCCGCCGGACGCTCCCAAACCGCCAGCCCCCTTATCGTCGAAAAGCTTCGACCTTTCGCGGCCTGCCGAGCCGGAAAAACCCGGTACTGACGAAGAAAAGAAGGTGCCCGCTACCCGTTCGACGAAATTCCCAGAAGAAAAAGGTTACTCACCCGACGCCGGCGGGAGTCCCTTTTCACCCTTGGAGGAGAATGGGATAAAAATGGAGAAAAAGGGGAGAAGGAAATCGGTGTCTTCGTCGTCCTCTTCCTCGTTTTCCAGCCAATCAGTCTCGCCTCCGGCGAAAGGCGGCTGCTTTATGTGTTCCCCCAAGAAAGCGCCGTCAAGGAAGAAGAAGAAGAACAAGGAGAACAGGGGTTTGGATTCGGGATTCGATTGGGGGAAAAACGACGATAAGCTTTTGTCCGACCTGAGTAATTTTTCTGTGAAAAGTCAGAGGAAGATGATGAAGAAGGCCATGGAGGAAGAGGAGAGGGTCTGCAGGGAGGCTGAAAAGATTGTGAATTGGGCTAAGCAAGCTTCTGCAAGAATGGATGTTACAGGCATTGAAGATGAGCTAAGTGATGATGAAAATGGTAGATTCCACTAATTTCATCTGTGTTTATTTTTCTATTTTGCTCTACCTGTTGTTGTGTTATACTTGAATGTGGAAACTTGTGATCTGTTTTGAGGGGTTTTGTTATAATATATACATATTTTGTTGTTATACTAAAGTATGGATTGTTGTGACCTGCTTTGAGGGGTTTAGTTATAATATATACAGAGGATATTGCTTATATATATAAATAGTATAGGGTAAGGTGTGACTGTTCAATGATGGTATTTCTACACATCTATAAATACCCCATGAATGTTGGAGTATCATTTTTTACTTGAAATTTAAGAGTTCTTTTACTACAAGTTTGCCATATTCATATTGTTTTTTTGTGTGTATTCATTCTTGAAAGTACCACAACAAAAGTAGCTTTTACCGAAGACTTGTATATTTGTATTACCATTATAAACAAGTTGTAAACCGGATTTGGAAGGCGTTGGTCGTTAACTATTGGTATTTTACGTGTTTATTTCGTCTTAAGGAAAGTTTATATTTACATTTCTCGATTTTGTATTTTTACTCGATTTTCGCTTTTATTTACTTAGTTACTTATATACCGAAACTCAAGATTAGAGAAATCATAATTTTATTTTAGTTAAAAGGAAAAAGAAAAAAAAAATTGTGTTAATAGATGATGATAGTATTATACAAATCTAATACGATGCATATATCCAACTCCAACGCATTGGAAAATCGAGCTTTATCGTGTTGAGACCATCATCTTGTTTAATATAACAATTAACAACTCTACTTGCAATTCCCTAGCTATCCTCTCAAAATCTACTATCTAAGCTTCGAGATATCTTGTTTTACCATCATGTTCTTAAAGAAAGCATATATTGGAAGTTATGGGGAGTTAAACTGTTTAAAGTAAACACCAACCACCATTCAAGGTTAGCATCATTAATATTCCTACCTTTTGTACTTGTAAAAAGAAAAGTAAACCAAATATGTCTGGGGTTGTTTTGCAATTGACCCAAACAAGAATTCATCAAGAAGTCTTCATCTCCTTCAAGAAACTAGCTGAAGGAGGAATCAGAAAAGACCTCAACAACTAGAATCAACAACATAATCTAATAATCTAGTTCGTTGCTCTCTAAAACTCTTCTAATTGTGAAAAACATTGACTTCCACTACTCACACTATTAACATTATTATAAAATTATTACCATTATTAGATTTTCATTAATTAATAATATAGTTTAAGTCACATCTCATGAATCGTTTGGGTACTAAATTTCAAAAACCATTTGAGTCCCTTTTTCACTGGTGTTGGTCTATTTTGAGATGGTTAGTTATAATATAACTATTTGACTATTTTTTCACTAGTGTTTATCTACTTTGAGATGGTTAGTTATAACATATAGATTGGTATGATTGTGATCAAAGAGTATTGGCTTACTGAGAATAAAATCTACACTACTATAATGTTATTTCTGGATAGATTCTTTATTTTTAGCTTTTGTGGAAGATTTGTTAAGTGTTGTGGAAGTGGAACTCGTTACTAGCTTGGCTTGTGCAGTTAGTTTTGGGATTCTTCTGAAAACATAAGGTGAAAGCATTCACTTTTCATAAATGGGCTACTTAAAAAATTCTCAAAATTATTTTACTATGAGAGATTAAGGCATAATTTAACTTTTAGTTCACTATATTGTTCACTATATTGACATTTTTTCAACAAAAGTCCATTTTTTTTGGCAAACATCAAACTTAAGAGATTAATTTTAAAATAAATTATCAAATAAGATACACTAATCATTAGTGACGGAATAAATAGTGAATTATTTAAATTTATAACGGGCTCGGCGCGGGCTGATCATGAGCCAATAACGGGTTGAAAATGTAGTTATTGCATAAAACTTTAGACATGCAATTGACTGAGCAAACGAAATCCAATTGGTCTGACACTTTGGGTATACGACCGTCTCAATGAGAAGAATTCAATGGTAGATCACATAGTTAAAACATACTTAAGACGACACCAGAATTAGATCAATAATAGAACAACTTAAATTATTTTGGATAAAATATAATTGAGTGGGAAAATGAAATTTAATTGACTTACAATTTGTGGTTACAACCATATAGATGAGACAAATCCAATGGTGAGTCCCCACTAGAACTTACAAAGGGCACCAAAATGGCCCATAAATACTAAATAGAGAAAAACAAATTTGGGCTAAAATGATTTTGGATGACAAATGAGCAGACAAACGAACTCCAATTGAGACCAAATAAATTTTGTGTGTACGACTGGTTTGACAAGAAGAATTCGATGGGATCTTAGATGGCGTTGAATTAAACCAGATAAAAAATAACTCATTTTTTTTTTTTTTTTGAATGGAAAATTGAGTGGGCAAACGAACTATGATTGAACTAAAAGTTCACGGGTACGACCGTCTCAACAAGAAAAATCCAATGGTGGGTCAACCACTTAAAACGGGCTCGTTCGCTAATCGAGTAATAAATATGATTGACCTCAACTCGTTTATTAATATTAACGACCTGATATAAGATTAAAATTCAAAAAATTGCATAAAAATCCTATCTCGAAGCTTATCAGTCTGTAAACTAAACAAGCTCAACTCGACTTGTTTATTAAACGAGCTAAGACAAGCTTGATCTTTAACTAGCCGAATTCAGCAATGACTAGTTTTGTTTAACAACTCCACCTGCAATTCCCTATATTCCCTTTAAATCCAAGGTTCAACAAATATAATATAGAAATATAAAAATATCACAATTTAAAAGCAATATATACAAGTGCCACAATATAGCATGTATATGAATTTTTGCTATACATTAAACATTAACGTTGTGCCTATAATTGTTCTGTTGACAAAAAAACATAATCAAGTTGCTAGTTCTTGAAATGAAATACATGAAACCTTAACGTCCTAAAACTCTTCTATTCTAATTTTGAAAATAATGATACTGGTTTTGATTATAAATGGAAAAAAAAAATAAAAAAAAATCTCCACCATTTATGTACTTCAATTATTATTCTATATATATTTCTATTACAAATACTATATATATTGGCATTATTATTACCATTAATATAAATAAATTAATTCCATTACACACGCTTATTACCATTATTATAAAATTGGAAATTGATTTTCCATCCACCGCGTTTATCAAAATTGGTAACTGATAATAGTCATATAAACACTGAATAATTACTATTGTGTTACATATCAGAATCAGATACATTGATCGTACAGTCTGAATGGAATTTGTACTCAATCATGAACCATTTGAATTTCAAAAACCATAATTGAATTACTAATGCAATCAAAATCCCCATTCATCCTCTCCAAAATCAAAAAAATTAAATCACCATCATTTCCTCATTTGACTTTCCATATATCCCTCCCCCCTCCACAAAACCACACCCTATAAAAACCCTAGTCAAAACCCCTCCCAATCCCCACACAAACTCAAAAACGATGGCTTTTTACTACACCACCACCACACTTTCTCTCCTTCTCCTCTCCATCTCCTCTTCCTCTCAAGTCATCACCGTGGATCTCATCCGCCGCGGCTCCCCCGGCTCTCCCGGTTATGACCCTTCCAAATCCCCCTTCGACCTTCTCCGCTCCTCCTTCCACCGCTCCTCCGCCCGCAAATCCTCCTTCCACCACCGCACAACCACCGCCGCCTACGGCGGCGCCGCCTCCGCCCCGGTGGCCGAAAACTCCGGCGAGTACCTCATGACGGTGGGCCTCGGCACCCCTCCCATGGACATCCTGGCGATCGCGGACACGGGCAGCGACCTGACGTGGACCCAATGCCAGCCGTGCACGAGCTGCTACTCCCAACGAGACCCAGTTTTCGACCCCCGCAATTCCTCCACCTTCCGAACCCTCACTTGCGGGTCCCGCCCTTGCTCCCTCCTCGACTCCTCCGCCTCCACTTGCGCTTCCGCCAAAAACGAGACGTGCAACTACCAATACTCGTACGGCGACAGCTCCTACACTCTCGGCGAACTCTCCTCCGAAACCCTAACCCTCGGCGGCGCCGCCGCATTCCGGCGAGTCTCATTCGGGTGCGGCCACGAGAACGGCGGCACGTTTAGCCCCAACGGGTCGGGTATAGTCGGGCTCGGCGGCGGGCCACTCTCCATTGTCTCCCAATTAGGGTTTGGTCAGTTCTCCTACTGTCTGACGCTAATCGGGTCAGACAACACGAGCACAATAGAATTCGGGCCTGGGTCGGGTCTTTCCGGGCCCGGCGTGGTTTCCACCCGGCTTGTGAAAAAGGATCCGCCGACATTTTATTATCTAACCCTAGAAGGAGTGAGTGTCGGGTCCACCCGGCTCAAGTACCTCCGACAAACCGAAAACGAGGCAACGGGCAATATTATAATTGACTCGGGGACCACATTGACGTTTTTGCCCTCGGAGTTTTACGAGGGTTTTGAGGGGGCGATTGTGGAGGCGGTCAAGGGTAAGAGAGTGGAGGATTCGGAGGGGACTTTTAAGGTTTGTTACCGGAAGGAGGAGGGTTTTAGGGCGCCGACAGTGGAGGTGCATTTTAGCGGAGGGGCTGACGTGGAGCTGGAGCAGGATAGCACGTTTCTGGAAGTTGAGGAAGGGGTTTTGTGCCTGACGATTGTGCCGTCGGAGGATATAGCGATATTCGGGAACTTGCACCAGATGAATTATCGGGTCGGGTACGATGTGACGGGTGGGAAGGTGGGTTTTCTTAAGACTGATTGCGCGGGAAAATAAGTTGTCTGGTCTATCTAAATAAGTGTTNTGTGGTTGTGTGGTGTGTGTGTGTGTGTGTGTTTTTTTGAAGTTTGATAGTAGTTTGTGTCTAAATAAGTTTATGCATGGGTGTTAACTCTTATGTTATGTGTGTGGGTGTGTGTTTTATTGTATTCGATAAGTGATTTGGGTCATGTAATGGTGGTTCTTGATCTTATGGTTGATTATTGTTGGTAAATGAATTGTGATTTGTGGAATTTGTTAGTTGTTGTTTCACGTGATTTTGAGCTTTTTTATTTTTTTTAATTTTCTTTTGGGGGAATGATCATAAGAAATTTTATTGTGATATAATTGCTAGAACCAAAAAGAAATAAAAATAAAAAATAAAGAATGAGAGAATTTGTCGATTTGGTTACGAAATAAAGCCTTTGATTGAACGAGTCGTTTGATAGTAGTATTTTGTCTTGTCTCTAAATAAGTGTTTATTTATGCATGGCTTTTTAGTTTCTTCTTGTTATTTTGTTACTTTGACGGATTTTTCAGTTGTTTTTGGGAATGATCCTCTGGAATTGAAAAACTTGTGGGTTTAGTTAGGAAATCTGGGCGGTTCAAAATGTGATGCCTTGCGATTTGGTCGATTTTGTTGCCTTTTTTTTTGGATATTTGAGAAATCGTTTCCTTAAATGTTTGCTTTAAAAAGGGGATATATGCGGANTCAAGATTGATTGAGTCGAAAGGCACCAAGAATCTGTACCGAAAAAAAAGAAAGGCACCAAGAATGCATTTCCATTACAAGTTTAGTAAGGAAATTATATGATTAAATTAAATAATCTTGCAAGAGATAAATACCCCAAATTCCAATTGCTTTAAAAATAATATTTATGTTAAAAAGAGAAAATGTCATACTATAAATAACAATTTTTCACGATATTGATTGATAATTAATTAAATTAGCACTTTGACGTTTCGAAACCAATCAAGAGGCAAAATAATGAAAAGCATGCACAGATTAAATGAAATGCAGTTTTTCTATGGAGCATGTGGATTGTTTTTATTAAGGAGCCATCCTCTTATGTAAATCTTAATTGCAAAGGGAATTCAGGGGCCGGCCAATAAAAATAAAGTCACATCTATAAATCAACAAATGTTACCTTTCATTTCAAATTTATTCTTCTTGTCAGAAAAATAATGTCATGTCTATATAAATTAACAAATGGTAACATTCATTATTTCAAATTTATTTATTTTTTTCTAGGGAGCAAAGTCGTCAATTAATTATTCAACTTTATTTCCTAAAAAAATATCTAATACTACCTCCTATTTTTTTTAAATGTAATTTTGATTTTATCAACCATTAACCAAATAAATGATACTTTAGATCTTTTGTACATATTTTTCTATTATTACCCTCATTTAGCTAATAAGTTCATTGCGTCTTTTCATATTCACTCTTCATCTTTTATCAAAATATTCATCTTTAATGAGGGTTAATATCGGCGAAAAAAGATTATTAATTATAGTGAAACTTCTCAAAATGACATTTATTATGAATAGCAGAGAGTAGTATAAATACATTTTACAAAAACTAGTACTCCATTTGCATGTAACATGTAGTCTCGAAAATGATGTTACATTAAAATGTATCTATATTTATATGTTTAAAATCTTGTGATTTTTTAATTATACATATCGTCTATGATCTATCTATATCGCACACGTAATTACTCCCAAGCTTAAATTAGTTAATTAATTTGAGGTTAACAAATCGCTTCATGTGATATAACAAGAAAAATAGATAAATAAATACTCCAAACAGTGAATGACGGTCCAATTCTTGAAATATATATAATTCGATAAAATTGATTATAAAAGACTCGCTTGCCTAAGATATATATAATTATTATAATAAGGTTATAATTTAAGTTAGCCTATAATTTTTTTAATTTTAAAGTGAAATACCATGAAATTGATATATTGGATCACAAAACATCATAAACTGATTGATACTACAAAGCAACAAAAATTAATACTCAAAATCGGTTAACTTTGCATTTATAATACTCACGAATTTTGTTTAAATAGGATAATACTTTCACTTTCGGATAACAATTTGATACTAGTTGTATTCGTTTGGAAAAATAGTACCGTGATTAGCACGGTTACATTGTTGTACTATTTTATGTTAATCTTTTTCTTCTTGTGGAATATATACGGTGTTTCAAGAGAAGACTATTCATCTGTCCCATTGGCAATTTGCATGTAACGAGTAACTAGTACAATACCCGTGTATTACAGGGGTGTTGAATTAGAAATCTTTTGTAAAAAATATTAAATTTTTTAATTTTTTTTAAAAACTAATATAATTTAATTTTATATAAATATTGCTTTGAGTTTTAATTAAATTATCAAATTATATTTTTTTAATCATAATAATTAAACACCCGTACATTAAATAAAAATGTCAATCCGTATTGATTTTTTTTTTTACTTATATCATATAAAAATATCGATATTATTTACTACTACACAAGTACAAAAATATATATCTTAAATAAATAAAAATAATATGGTGATATGTATATGCATAAGTGTAGAATACGTTTATTTAATATTATGCAAAATAGATTATCTTTTTTACTTAATCAAATGAAAATGTCAACCCATGTTGAATTCTTTTACTTCTATCATATAAAAATATTGATATTATTTACTATTACATAAGTTCAAAAATATATATCTTAAATAAATAGAAATAATATGGTGATATGTATATGCATAAATGTAGAATATGTTTATTTAATATTAAACAAAATAGATTAATTTTTTACTTAATTAGATGGAAAAATATGAACAAAATATCTAAAACGACATTTATTTTATCAATGATCTATTAAGTCAAAGTGAGAAATAATAAAAATATGAGGGAGTATATATTATTATATATTTTAGTATAACACATGTTACTTGTGCGACTTATATGTGTTATATTATAATAAATTTTCTACCTTATAACATATAACTACATTAAACATAAATATATTAATTGATAATAATTTCAATTTCTAATTAATTTTAATAAATAATTTTTTATTATTATAAAGATAAATATAATTTATTTATTTTATATATACAATATAGATGTCAAATCGAAAATCATCAAAAGATAATTAATTTGATATATTATATATGTAAAACCGATAAGAAATACAGAAGTTATCAACTTTTAAAATATATTATTAATTCAATAGTTATAATAGGAAACGATATTAAAATACATCAATATAAATATTAATTTATATTCAAGCCTAATTCCAAAGTATGATTTTTTGCCAAATAGGATTCTGAAGCATGAGAGTTTGTCATAGGCTCAGCTCATTCTGAGATTATATATATAGAGGGGAAAGGGATTGATCCATTTGGTGCCATGATAGATATTTAGGCAATTTTTTCCTTCAATATTTCATCTATGCAGTATGAGCATAATAATTATGTACTTTTTACTATTTACTTTTTCCGTATTGCTTGTATAGTTGTACGATCTTTCAATGCTATTGCTATCTAAACAGAAAATAAATAAAAACACACTCATCCACTCAAATATTTTTAACTAAAATCATTATCAATATATTAAATCAAATAAACTTTAATGATTATATTTTTAACTACAACCATTTCAAATCAATATATTAAATCAAATAAACTTTAATGATTACAATGCTTTCTCATATTCATTTACAATTTTAAATTTATCTTTCCATTTTTTTTTTCTAAAAACAAATTTTTCCACTTTTTTATCTCACATTTTTTGAGACAAAAATTTCCAAAAATCTTGTGTCGGTTTAGTTACGTAAAATTCATTTTTTT